TTTTTATCAAAAAAATTAAATAACAAACATTGATATATTTCTTTGTTACGCTCATTGGCGGATTAGGGGGGGGGGGGCACCCCTAAAAACTTTCAAAGTGTGCTATGGCTAATAATAATAATGCTATATTTTGATACATAAGTAACCAATTCAACTATTTTTGCACCTGGATTTACTCTTAAAATACACGAAAACCCAGGAGCTCCTGGACCCAACCATTCAAAGTATGATATGAATAGTATCAATAATGCCGTAGATTGGTACTAACTAATACCACTATTTTTTGCCTGGTTTTTGCTATCAAAATACAGGAAATTGCAGACGCTACCCCGCTCCGCTCCATTTAAAGTATGATATGACTGCTAATAATCACGCCATACTTTAGAACATAAATAACAAATACCAATATAATGGTGCCTAGCTTCACTCTTAAAAAACAAGAAAACCCAGAAGCTTCCGGGGGCGTTTCCGTGTGGGCCTCCACCAGGACTTTTCCCTCGACCTACTAGGGGCCATAAGCCCCCCCCCCCCCTTCGGCCATGATGCTTGTTTTACAGGCTCGTTTTCAGTTATATGCTTCGAATTGATAAGGCTTTTTAATTATACAAAGTTGGTTTTGTTTTCTCATTGATTGATAGTATATTGTTTAACGTCCCTTTTGGGAATTTTTCACTCATATGGAGACGTCACCGTATGCCGTTGAAGCGCTTCAAATTTTGATCTTTGCTCGGCACTCAGGGCCATTGAGCAGTGAGGAATCTTGATTGTGCCAACGCCTGCCGCTGACACGGGACCTCGGTTTTTAAGGGCATATCCGAAGGACCCGCAACTTTCACTTCAAAGTGCCAAGTGTATGGCGAAGAAAAGTGGCTACCCATTTTTTTATCGACTTCCGTCAGTCGCGGCCGAGTTTCGAACTCACGACCCCCCGATCACTAAGCGAGTGCTTTATTTTCTGAATACAAGTGTTTTATTGTAGGAATTTAAACTGTTGTAACAGTTTTATTGATTAAGTAACGGAAAAATTCTGATTGTCGCTGCTTTCCAATCCCATCAACTATGTTAGAAATGCTCTCGACAACAAGTCATTCAATTTAGACCAACAATGGAAGGATATTTGTAAAGGAGTCTGTGAATGCGCAAAAAAATCTAGTAAATCACCTCAGTGACATTGCCTGATTCCTTGGTTTGTACATTATCATGATAATACTGCTTGAATAATTATTTTTCTGACCGTTTAAAAAATACCTGTGCTATGCTTTACTGCTTTACTATTTATATGTGATATTAGGACAAATTTTGTGTTACAACGCACTTTGAAAATTTTTTTCAAAAAAGTGTGTTTGGGACCAACTCAACGCACTTTGAAAAAATAAAATTTCTTTTCAAAGTGCGTTAATATCAACAATTTTAAAACACTTTGAAAAAAATTGTATGACTTGGTCAATATATTCTTGCACATCTTAGGTATGATAAATAATTGAATCTGTTGGATAACTTTCCGGTGATAAGTTCACCTCAGGATGTAAAAGTGAGCGATTTTGATTTTTCCATACTTTGAGATTTCTTTCTCTCTTAAATGTTTTCCTGCACTTAAAATTTTCCAGGTTGCATGCATTTTATGTAAACTAAAATTTATTGAAAATTTCAACGCTAGACCAGTTATGCAAATACCTATATTTGGGTGTAACATAGGCATCGGTACATGTACCGGAGGAGGGGTGCTAAAGTACAAGGATGTTTTGCAAAGATATACATAATATACCGATAAGCATAATGAATTGGGGATTATCTTTAGGGGGGTCCACTTTTCAATTTGTTACTGACGGTTATGTATAAAAAAGAGCCCTTCTACTGGTCTTCTCCTTCTTCTCAATGAGGGTAAATCAATGCATGTAAACTTAAAAGTTTTTTTGAAAGATTTTATAATTACAAATGATTCTCTCAATTATTAAAATCAAAGTCTAGATTTTTTTGTTTCATGCATGTTTTTTTTTTTTTCAAAGGGCGTTAAATGTTCCCATCGTAAAACTGTTAATGTACACTCTTAACGCACTTTGAAAAAAAAAATTTCAAAGTGCTTTGAGTGTGTCCCAAATTTAACGCAATTTGAAATTTTTTTCAAAGTGCGTTGATTTTGTCCAAATTTTAATGCAATTAGAAAATATTTTTCAAAGTGCCTAATTTTTTAAAGTGCCTTGCCACATTTTGAGGTGACTGTAAAATATTATACTGTATATCACATGGTAATTACTGTATACAGGGAAATTTTCGCCCCCTTTATATTTTCACTCTTTTCGCTCTTTTTTCAGTTGGGCGAATATTAAACGAGGCGAGTTAAAAGAACACAGTATAATTTCTTATATAAAACTGTGGTTGGGCGAATTCAAAAAAGGGTGAAAAAGGGGCGAAAATTATACAGGGCGAAAATAACCCTGTACATACAATATTCGAAAAAAATAATTTACTTTTCGATAAACTAACAAGGTAGAAGAATTATACTAAGTCTCCTGGAAAATCATCTCCAGTCCTCGTGTCTTTGCTATTGTTACGTAATCTTATTGCGGTAAGTTTAACTGGTTTCACAATATCGTATCTGAACTGTAGAAGTATACGAAATAAAATGGTTAAAAACTACTTTGAATTTAACGATATTTTATGCTTAAAAATATATTACCAAATATTAAGGAGGGCAACTACATTAAATGTAACTTGCACTTCTTAATATAGATACCATTGACTTCCCTTCATAAGGGAAAATCAATATTAATAAATGACTAAAGGAAAAGTAATCATAAAAGCATCCTATATTGGTACACAAACGAGAGACATCGATTCAAAATAGGAATTTTTGAAAGTTTTTTCTGCATAAAATAGTGGATTACTTATATTATAAGTAGTTGAATAGCTGTTGATGAATTAAAAATTACAAAAAATGAAAGATAAAGAGATTCTTTTGTTGAGTCTTGAAAAATAGATGTGGAAAGTATGGAATAAGTTTTTTTCCGTGGTGAGAATGTTTATTTATTGTTTGTAAGTTTTTTTTCGACGACCAGGGTGGTGAGACATAAATGTTAATTTATTGTTTGTAGGAGACTTTTGGAACATGGGTACAAATTCGCTCCGTTATTAGCAGACTTATTTTTATATTCATATCAGAATTTTTGAAAACACTTTTGGCCTTCAACTCGACATTGATATAGGAAGACGTATTGTCAATTAATAATGATTAATTCCTGTTAGTAGTTGAATACGATATTTTATCAAAAAAGACACTAATGGTAACAACAACCAAGCTTTATGATAAACGTGATGACTTTAACTTTTCTTACATCCCTTACTTATGGAGCAATACCTTCATCGCCTGCATACAGAGTATATATATCTCAGATTACGCACGAATAATTTCTTAAACGAGGTAAATTATTGACAAGCAAGTTGATGAAACGAATATCAACAGTCTCGTTTAAAGTCATCATTTCATTTATGGTCCAATGACCTTGTCAGCAAATACAATTTATCATTGAATGAAATGCTGACTGACGTTTTTCATACCAATTGTTAGTCCATTAGGAACAGAATTGACGACGGATTATTTCCTGATTATGACAACGAGCACACGGCGACCGGTTCGGCTTCACTCCTCCATGGCAAACCTCTGATGTTTCGGAGGTCCGTGTTTGCTCTTCTCTTATTTTGTATATTGTTTAATGGACGCTGAGATTGAATACTGTTCGTTATTTCCATATCCTTCTCAAAATAGTTCAAAATATTTAGGAATCGAAATATGGCTTAATACTGATTTTAGATTTCAGAGAATTTCAATATTATTTCATCAACAAGAAAACAGAAATGGATTTTTCTGCAACTAAATACATGTAAGACTAATTTATCATTTTAGATTATAAATAATTAAGCAATTCTCCGATAAAAAAAAAACGGATTTTGTTCGTACTATCAAAAGATGTTCATGTAGGTGGACCGTAAATTTTGACTAAATTGAATTTCATAAAATGCAGAAAGGGGGATACAAATGGCAGTATGGAATGACTTATATTACGTTATATCCATATTTTTCATTGATTCAATGTTTGTAAGTCTCTAAAATGAACTTGCCAATTATTAAACTTTTTCTATTTGCAGAAATTTTAAAAGTTTATTATAAAAGTAAGCTCCAGAGATAAACCTTGATAAACAAAACCCCGTAAATCATGTAGTGTGCATGTACATTCGCCGACAAAATGGGAACTGTTTATTTATTTGTAAAAATATTTATTTTTATGTATTTAAAAATCTTGAAAATATATTGACCACAATAAGAAGTAAACAAGATTGAACATCCGAGAAAAAAAGTTAAACATCTTAGTACGGTTTATCACAATAGATCACGCTATTTAACTAGAACATAATATTGAACGACTTTAAGTAACTATATTGCTTTTTTTACAAGCGATAATTAATTCTTTCTGCATTCAATTTTATAACTTACGCTTCATTTATCTTATTTGGATTTTTTAAAAATACAAACGAAATTTTTGTCTAACAAATAATATTCCGATAAAAACTAACAAAATAAAAATTTACAGGTTTCTATACGTACGATAACGCACGATTACAACCGCAAACGATTGAGTCTGATACACGCACAATCACGCACGTTACACGAACGATCACACACGATACATAAACGATTCTACATGATTGGTTTGTCAACAATAACGTTGCAGCCACTGTACCCACGACCACCGTGACGCAGGCTTCGGTTTTAAAGGTTTCCTTACTCTTTACTTTCCTTATCAAATTAATAATGTTCCCAAGACTGTAAAATCAAACTAGGCCTTACTTAATTTTACCGAGAAAGAAAAAGACGACTCATATTAAAGTCTACAAAGAATATTTTAAAATCATTAATTAATGATAAAGTTCATGTCCAAAAAGTGGATAAGGGGCAATTAAGTCAAAATGTCTAAAAATGAAACAAAATAAAATATTTGAAATACCTGAAAGACTGACTTCAACCGTGTAAACATTCAACAAGTTATAGTGATTCCTGGTTTTAAAATGCTGGTATATTTTGAATATTCTAATCCAAATTATTTGTAGCCAATGGCATTCAAGTTGGATATCGTTACGTAATAGGAACATTTAAACCCCTCCTAGTTTCTACCTTAGTTTCGGCCAACTAAAAAAATCATTTAGGTTTCAGGAAAACTAGGCTCCCGCAAATGTCGAATCCTAGTCAAATAGAGAAGATGTCACTGAAAGACGACCAAGTGAATGAAGAGGAGGAGGATATAGTGAACCCATGGGAAGTTTCCACTCACTCTGCTAAAGGCGTGGACTACGATAAACTCATTAGTAAGACCAAACAGCTAAATTGTATTTTATTTCTCATTTTATTCACGTATTTGATTTTTTTTTTATTTCATTGAAAATATTTTATATAAGGATTGTCTACTTTCGATTTGTTCAAAATGTCACATTGGTTTTGTTCCCTTGAAATCGTAGGGAAGTTTGGAAGCACTAGAATAGATCATGCTTTGATAAAGAGAATAGAGAATTTGACTGGAAGACCTGTCCATCATCTTCTCAGAAGGGGTATTTTCTTCTCTCAAAGGTAGGCTAAATATATAACCTTGTTTGAGCATACAAAAATAATTTAAAGATATATGAATCTCACATTGAAGTTAAGTTGTCCCGAGCACACCGACCTGTATCAAAATTTATCAGTTTTATATTATAAGTTAAAACACCGGTCGGTGTTTGTCTTGAGTCTTTTTACTCTGTTTAATAAGATCCATGTCTAGAAAAAAAAGCATATCGTGGCTGACAGAACTCGTGGGCGCTGTCGTCTTTGAACATTGAAAGCGCGCAATAAGACGTTCACATTTTCTAGTTGGGTCTTACGGCACTGCCCGAGTGTGGATTGAGTTGAAATTAAAAATATGCTCATATCCAAATTTTGATTGAAAAATTTCAATTTGTGGACAAGAAACAAGGAAATAATTGCTTTCAATCGATGTTACTATTTTGTTTTGACACTAGCAAAACATTGATAAAATAATTTAATTGCAAAATTTTTTTAGTAAACGTATTTAAAAATTAATGCATTGTAAACTTAAGACAATTTATATAATTAGGAAAAAAATAAGTACTGGAAAGAGTTTATGTGTATTTTGAAAAGGATACTTAACGTCACCTTTTAAATCCAGCGAAAAATACCGTTTATATGTGTCTTAAATTGTAAGAATACGTGTACATCAGCTCTAAGCACTTTGACACTTTTTTCCCTCAGAGATTTGGAGATGATCTTGAACGTGTACGAGCAAAAGAAGCCTTTCTACTTGTACACTGGTCGAGGACCGTCGTCAGAGGCAATGCACATGGGACATCTCATTCCTTTCATTTTTACTAAGTATATTTTAAATTAGTCCGAACTGTCATACCAAAGTAAAAAGGAAATCAAATTGTGAAGAATTTATTACATTGAAATGTTGATGTTCAAAAAACGAGTGATAATATATGGAATAAATTATAAATTTTATAATTTTGTGCACCAAGGTGGCTGCAAGATACATTTGACGTGCCTCTGGTCATTCAACTTACTGATGATGAAAAGTTTCTGTGGAAAGACCTGACATTGGAGCAGACAAACCATTTAGCGTTTGAAAATGCTAAAGATATTATTGCATGCGGTTTTGACGTGGAAAAGACCTTCATCTTTAGTGATCTTGACTTCTTAACGTATGCAAAATTTTATAATCTCTGGGGAAAATATGTTACTAATATGTTCTTTTCCTCATTACTGCTTTCTACGTGTTAAATTTCTACATATCAAAATTTCATGCAATTCAAACTTGAAAACATTACCAAAATCATAAAAATGGATATGACAATGCAGTTGACTTTTCATAAAGGAAAAAAAAACTAACATAAATCAGTGGAGGCTGGAGGTATCTCAGAAAGATATCGCCATAAAAATTTCAAACTTTAACTATTTAAAATAACCTTAGTAAACTCAAATTAATTGATTATTTCTTCTCAATAGGAACAGTCCAGCGTTTTACAGAACGATTTGCAGAATCCAGAAATTAGTGACCTACAACCAAGTGAAGGGGATCTTTGGATTTACGGATAGTGACAGTATTGGTAAAATAAGCTTCCCGGCTGTTCAGGCTGCTCCAAGCTTCAGTTGTATGTTTCCGGAAATATTTAATGGAAGATCCGATATCCCATGTCTCATTCCATGTGCAATAGATCAGGTAAAAGAATAATTAATGTTAATGTCATATCTGACAAATAATTTTCTTACAAAACAAATTTACAGTTTTACAAAAAGATGTACACGATTTTCTACATTTGAGAAAAAAGGTCGTATAATTTAACATTCCTTCTTGGTCTTTATATCTATGCAAATGAAAAATATTATCACGTAACAAAATATATTGAATGATAGCCTAAAACAGGTACAAATTCTGTTTTCGAAGGATCCTTATTTCCGAATGACTAGAGACGTAGCACCTAGGATGGGTTGTCTAAAACCTGCTCTCGTTCATTCTACGTTTTTCCCAGCTTTGCAAGGAGCACAGTCTAAAATGAGCGCCAGCGACCCAAATTCGTCAATATTTGTCACAGACACAGATCAGGAAATAAAAGACAAGGTATGTCTGCTTAATTAATTAGTTTTTTGCTCATTGTGCAGCACGTAGTTAATTTTGCATCTGTGACGAATTTTGTTCAATGTTTTTATCACTCATTTAACAAGAGATGTTTGTAAAACACTCCTCCCCTAAATAATTGGAAATTTTCTAATCGAAGGGGTCATAACTCTGTCCAAAATGGCTTGATTTTACCCAAAACAGAAACTTGACCTAGATATTCTTATGATAAATCTGTATACTTAATTTCAACCTCTGGAAAGAAAATGATCAAAATCTGCAAATTAGTACAATTTTTCTTAGTCAAGGTGGCATTACTCTGTCCAAAATTACCCGATCATATCCAAAACAAAACTAGTCCTAGATATTCTTCTGATAAATCTGTATACCAAATTTCATTTTAATATGTGCTAACTCTGCTAAGAAAATGAACGGAAACTGATGGTTGATCGACAGACAGACCGACCGACGACCTACCGACAGACTGACCGACCGACAGCAGCTAAGCAATTTACTCCTCACTTCTTTGGGGGGGGGGCATGATAATGAAGAAATCTTGTTCAAGCTGAAAAAAATAATAGAAGAAATTTTTTTTTTAAATTCAGATTAACAAGTATGCCTTTTCCGGAGGTGGCGCCACTGTAGAGGAACATAAAACCAAGGGAGGGAATTGTGAAGTAGACGTTTCATACCAGTATCTTACTTTCTTTATGGAGGATGACCAGCGACTGGAAGAAATCCGCATGGTAATTTCTAGAACTTTCATTAAGCGCATGCAATAAAATATATATCCCTTACTATTTATAACAAAAATAGTATTATCCATCTCTTTTTGTCTATGAAAAACTGCATTTAGATCATTCATCTACCTTTTACAGGCTTATACAAGCGGCGAATTAATGACGGGATCTTTGAAGAAAGAACTGATAGATATTTTACAGAAAATGGTCGGTGAACATCGTCAAAGGAGGGAAGCTGTCACCGACGAAATCGTCAGGCAATTCATGAAACCAAGAAAACTTAAATATGACTATCCTGCTTTATAACAGGACCCCCTTAAACAAGTACACTGTGGAATTCTTCTGAATATTTTCTTTTATTGACTATCGCATTGTTTAATATTGAAAAATTGAATATGTTGATTCTGAAAAGAAAAATATTGTAAATGATTTTATCTAATAAAGTGTTTACATATTGATTCTCTCCAGTTAGAAAAACATAGAGGCCATCCACCACAATTTTATTGTTGATATACAGTGCTATATGAAGATAACAGTAATCATTGCTCAAAGGTCCATTGAATACATAGAAATTGATTATTTGTATCGAATCAACGGGGCGAGATGAACTTCATATACAGGTGATAAGTGTAAACTTTGCTTTATAAATCATAGAAGTTGCTGACTCCGAATTGTTTTTTTTTTTCAAAAATAGATGATTACTGAATGCTTTATAGGAGAACTATCTAAGTTACAGAACTTGTTGATCCTTTTGACTTTTCGAATTGTTTTTTTTACACCTTCAAAAATAGATGGGTTACAGGGTCCTCATCCTTTTGATGTTCAATTCAACTTCAACATACACTGTAATCGAAAAGGACATGATATTTACATATTACATATAGTTGGTCTTAATAATCGGTAAAACATTCAAATATGAAACAGATGTGTAAAAGACTCTGTTATCATTCAATCGAAATTCACTGTGATTCATAAAATACATACCTTGCCATAAGTCATATGCAAACTTTTTGTAACAAGATAAGAATCCAACTGCACATACCAGCACTTTAAAGTTGATGATTGAGTCGTTGATTGACAATACGTTGTCGATACATCTAAATTGAATTGAAGGCCACAGCAAATGTTCTTCTTTCTTTCCAAAAGTTTGTTGGAAAACATGTTCTCCAAAAAACCAGGTAGATATTGTCAATCAGAAACTTGTGTGTACAATCCCATGGTCTTTCATATAATTTTTTTAATGGAATAAGCATTTTTTTAATTTATAATTTTCATGGTAAAGAAAGAGATAATAAATAAACTCATTTACATTTATCACATGCTAACGCACACTATCCACATCCATTGTTGACATTTCTTGTATAGTAAAAAAATAATTTTTCAGCAAAAAAATTTCTCCTTATATGACATTGTTAGTATAACATCTAACCATACTCCACCATGACAAAATACTACTGTTGAAATGCTTTACTATGAAAAAAAAGACGTTGACACTTTTTTTCAGAATTGATAAAGTGTATCTGATCTATGTTATAATCGCGTATTAAAAGACTGAAGACCAAAAGAAAAACCATCTATCATTCTGTATTCAATAATCTAGAAGTGAAAAAAGAACTCTGAAATTTACTTACCTTAATTGTTCATTAATCATTTGCAATTCAAATACACATAATTTGTCAAAAAAAACATTCAAATTACACATACATGTACTCTGAAATTTACATCAAAAAGATACTCGACTTCTTTC